CCGCATTGGGGTCGCGCATTGATCGCATTGGGGCCCCGCATTGATCACATTTGGGTCGCGCACTGGTTGCGTTGGATCGCACATTGATCGCATTGGGGTCGCGCACTGATCGCATTGGGGTCGCGCATTGACCGCATTGATCGCGTTAGTGTCGCGCATTGATCGCATTTGGGCCGCGCATTGATCGCATTGGGGTCGTGCATTGATCGCATTTGGGTCGCGCACTGATTGCGTTGGATCGCACATTGATCGCATTGGGGTCGCGCATTGACCGTATTGGGATCGCGCATTGAGCCCATTGATCGTATTGGGGTCGCGCATTGATCGCATTAGGGTCGCGCATTGATCGCATTGGGGTCGCGCATTGACCGCATTGGATTGCGCATTGATCGCGCTGAATTCAAGCATTGATCGCATTAGGTTGCGAAAGCCGTATTGTAAGTGGTTCCCTCACGAAACACTGCTGAATATTGGTTAAATATTACTAACCCGTCACATTAATTGAGATACGACAGATGTCATCTAGACGTAGCTCAATTAATTCCCAAAAATCTTTACTTTGTTTTGTGGTCCTTACTTTGTTTTGACCTAATTAAAGATGCCCGCCACCAAATTAGATCGTCTTTCATCGCATGTGTTTCAACCGCTGGACACTTTGTAGACCAAAAATTTCCTTTTTTGAAAAGTCAAGATAATTAAACCGGATCTTCTACGAAACTATTTTGGGGTTTGCTATTATCTACAACGATTCAGTTTTCCCGCCCCTGGTTCCAACTCATAACAATCGTCCAATATGACTGCCGTTTAGCACAGTATACTTTATCTCCTCTACAGTATAGGCGCAATGCCTGAAATATTCAAGTCCTGTGAACGTATCGGCATGCATGAAAAAATATATGACTTCGTGGTGCCCCTCGCTATCAATTTCAAAAAGGACGGTTCCACTGTTTTCATCACGTGTAGCTGCATTTGGCTCGCCCAGACGGAGGGGATTACACTAGATGCGGGACAGATTGTGACCATTGCGTAAGTTTGTTTGTATGTTATATACTAATTATCATAACATACCTACAATATAGTTATTTTGTTGAGTTTGTAATGCTACATGGATGGACACGAACCATGTAATTCATCAGTAAAATTCATCCGGTGTTTTTGTTCTCAGGATAATGACCGCCGCCCTCTCCTTATGTTTACCGGGGATACCGAGTACAAGTTTAGTTGCCATAGCAACCATTGCTAGCTCAGCTGGGATACCGTACAACAATATCGGTGTATTGATAGCCATGGAGTGGTTGCTGTAAGTACTTTTAACAAAATAATGTAAAACCATTCGCATCTCCAGTAAAACATCCTCCAAAGCCCATCCTACAAAAAAACGATACACGTGAAAACATGAATTGTAACGAAAATCAAGTCTCAGTTAGTAGGGAAGTGTAATTCGATCTTGTCTTTCATTTTCCCCAAAATAAATTGTTCATCAAAATTCGAACGCTCACCGAGCGACTACTGTGGTATTTTAAATCAAAGGGTCACATGACCAAGACTGATATGACGTCATGAATGATAAACTGAATATATAATCCTCTCTTTTTCAGAGACGCCATTAGAAGCGGCGTGAATGGTGCAAGTCATGTAATCAACACAGCCATCGTTGACGCCAAAATGGCACCCGAAATGCGACTAGTCGAAACAGTGATACAGAAACGCCGAAAAGCTAATGAAATGGACGACGCAAAAAACTTGGCAGTGGCCACAGAAAATACAACTTTGTGAAATTACAATTCATATAGTTACTGTAATAGATCACAGTCGGCGCGCCGCTTCGTATTCGACATAGGTATCTTTCGGAGAGGGGTGGCTCTTTACCATTTTAAATTAAGCACCTGATAACATCATCTTACTTTTTTTTAGCTCCGCTGTCGACTTTGTCGAGCGGAGCTTATCATATGAGTGATTGTCCGTCGTCGTCCGTCGTCCGTCGTCCGTCCGTCGTCCGGCGTCCGTCGTCCGTGTCAATGTTTTACTTTTTCGATTTCTTCTTGAAAACTACAAGCCTGAATGCTTTGATACTTGGTGTATATGTACCTTGGGTAGACCTCTCTCAGATTTGTTCATTTCATGATCATATCTACAATTCTCTAATTTTGGTGAGTATTTTTGTCATTTTTGGTAAAAAGTGATATTTTCGACTTCTTGTTAAAAACCGTAAGTCCAATTGCTTTGATATTACATATATAGGCACTACATGTGGATCTCTCTCAGATTTGTTCATTTTGCAATGATATCTTTAGTTCTCTAATTTTGGTGAATGTTTTTGTCATTTTTGGTAAAAAGTGATATTTTCTACTTCTTGTTAAAAACCGCAAGTCCAATTGCTTTGATATTACATATATAGGTACTACATGTGGACCACTCTCAAATTTGTTCATTTTGTAATGATATCGTCAATTCTCTAATTTTGGTGAATATTTTTGTCATTTTTGGTAAAAAGTGATATTTTCGACTTCTTGTTAAAAACCGCAAGTCCAATTGCTTTGATATTACATATATAGATACTACATGTGGACCTCTCTCTGATTTGTTCATTTTGTAATTATATCTTTAATTCTCCAATTTTGGTGAA